AGCAACGGGCTTTTGGTTTGTCATTGGGCGTCCATTGTGTTTCGCGAACGTTTCTATAGCAGTGAACTAAGTTGTTTGGGCATAACAACACAACACAAAGAATGACCAGTTCGTAGAAATTTCTTGGGCAGAGTAGAGTATTGGAAGATAAAAGGAATTGAGTGTGCAGTAAACCGTACACAAGTAGCTTTGAAGTGGCCCATTGATAGCGTGACAATATAGCAGATGCATACTATCTGCGCAAGATTCTGGGTTTTCATATACGGAGAGTCGCTCGAATGTGCCACATTTCTAGAGAAAATGTGTGGAGAATAATAGAGAAGGCCTCTTTGCCAAGGTAGAGTGTAGGAACAAGGCCCAAAGGGACGCCTTTCTAAGTTAAGGGCAAGAGGCGAAAGACAGCTGAAAGAGCTATTAAGCGATTTCGAGAGAAAGGCGGAAACTTTTCCTCTAGTTTGGAGGAAAATGCAACAAGCCAGGATTATTCCCAAGACATATCAGCGAGAAGAGTATCCCGCTTTCTAAATTTCTTAAGATACTATTGACTAGAAGGGCGTAAAAAGGGTGTCCTACAATAGCCTAACTGTTTGGTCCGATGCCAAAAAGTTTCTTATTGATATTCCAGGAGTACTGCTGTAAAATCGACAACTTTTTATGAGTTGTTTACAACACATGTTAATTTGACCTTGCGCCAAATGGTGATGTGGGTGGCCCAAAACGAGAGTTTTTGCGATTGGTCGTGAAAGCTGCCAATGGGGATTCAGGTATCTTCATCGGACCGGCAAGATGTCGCAGTTTATTTCCAAATGTTGTAGGTATGTGCCTACTTTGTTAGAAGTCAAGGTATATATAACTGTGGACCATTTAAGTGATAAACAGCGTAAATTAAGTTTTGGTTCGGACTTGTGTTTTGTCTCCAGCGCGCGAGAAAGATCTGTACCGCCTTGTAGGCGTCGTCTTAGCATGGTCACTGGGGCATGGAGGTCCTGTGGGTAACTTCTTCAGCGGTACGCTGTACGACTCCAATCCAGATTTAAAACAGAAGATTATTCAGGCGAGTCTCATGTTTAAATTAAAACCGGAGGACTAGTCTTGAATGTTATGGGGTTACTAGCCTTACGGTTACCAGGATTGTATTGTTTAAGGACATAAGATCTGATAGTACTGTAGCATCAAAACACAATTTAAGTGCCAGGTTTCTATCTTTCAGATTGCTGATTCCAAAACAGACAAAGAGTTGAAAAACAACCTGCATCATGAAGATATCTAAGGTATCCTGGATGCTCAAGGTGCAGTCAAGTCGCCAGTGTTACAAAATAAAGATTCCATCTTGAAAATCATCCTTCGTCACGTCCTTGTAGACTCCACGAGGTATCTCTAGGAAGACTTCAAGAAAGGCCTGGAAACTCTGGGTGTACTGGAGGCTATTCAAAAACACCCAGAGCAAGTCCGAGAGCTGTTTACTACGGAGAATATTCGTCCCTTGGACGCTGCCACAGTAGATTCAATTTTTCGCATCGATTTTGACGAACAGGGATCCAATCGAAGAGACAGCCAAGAGCTGGCAATTATCCACTGGAAGGATTATCTTCAAGATTGCGAAAGTATTTTTCAAATTGATCATCTAAGTTGAGAGTGTGAGACGGGATTAGTGGGAATGTATTTCAAGCCTGACAAAAGAGCCGACAATTCACGACGCCACCACTGGTTTCCCAGTTCCTTTTTTCAGGCGTGGTTTTTAAACCAATGTTGACATTGGGAATTGTCGGCTTTTTTCTCAGGTAATCACCACAAAATCCACTGCAAACACACTGGATGCTAAATGCAAGCTTTCATTCGCTCTACATCCAAATAATACATTGACAAGTGCTTTATGTCTACTAGCACTTTCGTACCATATGCAACCTTTTCCGGTTGTCTAGCATGAACTGACCTACCAAGAGACATATCCCTCCAGTCAACTTGTAAAGACCGACTCAATAAGAAGGACAATGACTTATCATATATTCCCTTTGTAGCCACGAGAGACTGCGAGAGTTTTTCCTGTTCTTTATTTTTTCATGTTTTGCTTTGCGTAAAGTTAGTTTAATTAGTGCCTTTATTATCGCGCTTGGAGTAGTCTTTTGTTAGCCTTTTTCATATGCGTATTCTTTCTGTATTCTAGTCTCGGCGTTGCGTTACGTAATCGTTATTGTCAATTTTTGTAATTTCGTTAGGTTCATTATTTTCAGTCCAGTTTAGTATAAAGTCTTATTTTTGGTTCATGTAAATCAGTCGCTTAGTTGTATCCGGAGTTGCCGTACAGATCTTGTAAGTATAGTTTTTTCTGTAATTTTTGCTCGTTTTCTTAGTCATTTGTTTTACTTTAAGTTATCGTTTTTGTAAGGCTTTCGGTCCTCGTTTATTAATTCTGTATTTTCTTTTTTTTGCTGTAATTGTTCTAGTGAATCGAGAAGTAAAAGTCGAATTCAAACTGTACGAGAGTGTTTTTTACATGCATTCAAAGATCTGTTAGTGGATGTCATGTGTTCCGGAGTTGATCGGGAGTGGCAAAGAAGACGCCGTTTTCATTCTGAAGATGCTTTAGACAGTCTGCGACTGAAAAATTCAAGAGCTGGGTACTTGTCGAGAATAACCAAGTTGTACCGAGAAACTGAAGAACTCTTAAATGACTCAAAGAATGTCAATGAAGTTTCGGAGAAATTATTGGACATTGACGAAGCCTTTGCTCGCTTCGAGAAGGCGCATTACGATTACATTGCCACTTTATCTGGAAACTTAGAAGAATGGGAAAGCGAAGCACGTTATTTTAAAGAACATTGCAACCGAAAGATGAATTTTGAATCAAAAATTGAACAATGGATTCATAGCGTAAAGGTGCCAGTTGTAACTCACAAAGATATAGACACACAGCCTGAAGATGTCGTCAGCACCGCGCATTTATCTATTAGACAGCTGAAGGCCAAGCAGGCGTTAGCTCATTTAAAGCTGAAACAGTTAACGCAAAAGCAAGAATTATTACGTCAGGAGGAAGAGACTAAATTAAAGTTAGAAGTTTTGGAGGCACAGTATGAAGTCCAAAAAAACAGACCTGCAAGTTAAGTTGTTGCAAGATGAAGATATCGATTACCCTAATCTTCCGGAGGTGTTTAAAGAGCTGAATCCGTTTGATAAAGGAGTTGAAGGACGAGCTATAAGCGGGTATAAGCAGGAAGACCCTGAGCCCAGAGGCGGACAGAAATCAATTGAATCCAAACGTTGACAGTCACAGTTGAGTCCTAATGCGCTAGAATTCAAAGGTCTACTAGCCAGATCCAGCACAGCCTCCTCTGTTTCAGAAAACGAATATATTTTGCCTGAAGAATTTATAGGCAAGATGGCGTTAACCAT